CGAATGACAGAGGTAAAGCAGAGACATGTCCCTCTGGAAAGAAAATGTCTTCCTTAAAAAGAGAAAAAATAAAGAAAAAGTAGTGTTTCTCCTGACCCCGAATCTATTTTCTGTATTATTTTTTCAAAAACCATCTCAAAGGCCTTTCAGATGCTCCCACCTTAGCTGCTGAGAGATCATCTTTTATATTCCACCCAGTGGGTAAACTCTGGAAAGCCTAACTCTCTTTTATCCCACCATGTAATCTGATCCACCTATCATCATCAGGGGACATCTGGGATCCATCTTATCTTTCTCACTGGCTAGTTGATTAACCAGAAAGTGTTTTGAATTGGATTCATATATGGCAGAACTCCACGGATTTTATGAATTATAACGGGAGCAAATGAAAGGTCAGATTTTTATTCCTGTCCTTTTAAAGAAAAAAATTCTGTTGCCGTTCACATCGAGTATTTAAAAATTGGAGAGAAAAACTGTGATATTGTATTAATGGCTAAATACAGTAATTCATGGGATCCTCTGACTATTTTAAACAAAATACATTTTTTTTCAGAGTGAGGAAGTCCTGAGTCAGTATCCTGATACAGGCTTGTCAATCCACAGGCATATTACGATTAGTTGGAAATAGACAGAAGGCCAGGGAAAGTGTTAGATTGCTCTTTCTTGACCCATCTCCGCTTGATGGCATTTCTAGAGACATAAGAGAGGCTGGAAGTTGGGGACCTTTAATCCAGGGCATCTTTCCCACACCACGTTTTTTGCCATATTCCTGATGGAGGATGTGTCTGGTTCAAATAGCCACTAGACTTTTCAATAATCTTAATTGTTTTCATCATTACTACCTATGAGCCAGGTTCAGTGCATAAGTATATAAATAATTCACTTGTTTTCTTCTTTCATTATCCCAACTGAAAACTCATGATTCTTACTACTAAGATTTTAGGAGACCCAAAATCACAATGTTCATATCCAGTACCTTCTACATTCAGTATAACCTAAGGAAAACCACATCTCATGGGCAGAGCTGATGACATGGTATCATAAAGCATCTCTCCAGAAGCTAATATTTCAAAGGTGATGCCCAGGATAAGACAGAAAATATTTTTTCAAAACAATTAGGGCATCAGTTTCTAAATCTGATTTCTGGGGGAATAGGAAAAATAGTGGTCTCATGAACCAAATTATAATTAAAAGCTAAAAACTTGGTACAGGGCGAATCTCTATACAAATGAGAGCTGTTGCAATTATTATGATCATACTGGTGGGACAAGAAGCTAAGATGATTCTGCTTGAGTTTCCGCTCCTGCAGCTGGGTGATCCCAGCTGTATCAGGGGTTCAACGAGGGTCTTGAACTATGCTTGAGATGTTTTGGGTTCAACAAAGAAGCTTTTGCCAAATCCTTCTTCCCTTAATTTTTAAACATGTGTATTTCAAGGGAAATTTGATTCATATGTTTCTGATTCATTTACACTTAAATCATCAAAATGTTATTTTGTAAGAGCTATTTGATGTCCAAGAAGCTTTCTGAACCTGTTTTATAAGTCCTCTTAAGTCCTTTTTCTTAAAACAGGAAGTTGCATTTTGCCAAGTACAAATAAACTAAAACATTAAAAAGGTTCAAGTTCAGTTTCCAACTCTCAACGCCAGGTTTTAAGTACATTCTCAATTTAGCAAAATGTATTTTCCCACCCCTACAAAAATATGGGTGGAAGAAAAGGCAGCAATGATAAAAGTGAATTAAGGAATTCCCAAGCATTATTATTCTCAGAGACATTTCTCCACTTGTGAAAGTTCACGAAACCTGTAACAGATACTCTTGCGCCAATTAGATACAGGTGAGTTGAGAACAGGACCAACAGTCAGCTCCTCGATTCTCTGTTTACTGTTTTCATCACAGAAAAAGAAAACCTAAAAGTGTTAATATTACAACTTTTTGCTTATTTTACTTTTGAATGCCTTTGAGTCTTCTTTATTTTAGTAAAGATGTCAAGACTCAACACATTTGGTTGAATAGAAGAGACTCTAAGAGACTAGGCAGTTTTATGTCCATTCTAAGATGATGTAACATCAATTTAAAAACATAACTGATACTCTTCTCGGAATTGGATAAATGAAGAAAATTATCTCTGGTTCATACTAAGAGGTCTCTTAATTATATATTACCCTCATTACTTTAATGCAGAGATGATTCATCCTGACCCTGTAATTCCCTTACCGCTGATTCACTTTCATTTCTAGAAAAAAGAGCTAAAGATTAATTATGAGAGGGGTTTGTGACCATTCTAAACAATTTCCCCAGCGTTCTACTTTCCTCAGTCCACTTCAACATTTCTTTTGTGCTACTGAGAAATCATGTGATTCTCGAGATGGCAGAAATTATGCAACTGAAAACACTTAATTTAAACATCATTGACAGGGATGCCAAGTGGCTCAGTCAGTTGAATGTCCAACTCTTGTATTCAGCTCAGGTCATGATCTCAGGGTCATGAGATCAAGTCCCCTGTCAGGTTCCACACTCAGCGGGGAGTCTGCCTGAAATTCTCTCTCCCTCTCCCTCTGCCCCCCCACCCAACTCGTACGCACTCTCTCTCTCAGAAAAAGTAAAATAAAATAAATAAAATAAACATTATTAACTAAGCTATCAGTTCTGCTGTGGGAGCTCACATGCAGTGGCCACCAAGGAAACTTGTTGATCATAGATAGCAGCTTTTATTAACAGTCTCTGTTGTGTCTCAGATGGGGGAAGTTTAGGAAGAGGATGTGTAGATTGGAGGGCAATGTTCAGTCATAGGGTTATTTCAGGACAGAAGCTAGTGAATGAGGGCTAAGCAGAGACTAGTAGGATTTGTAAACAAGTTGTGGTCTTGTTTTTAACATGAACCCATGAAGAGTGACTGTTAAAATCTGTTTTTGCTTTTATTTTGGAATACATGTTCTGAAAGGAGCCTGCATTAAAACACTGAAGTTCAGACAGTTTGTGTTACTATCGTACAACTTACCTGTTGTGTGATTCATGGCATAGTTTTGTAGGGTGTGGTTTTGTTTTAGTTCTCATGAGGAAAGACTAAATATCACAAAAGACAAAGTACAGCATGCTTATTAACTGATAGATTTTTTAAAGTTTTTAAGTTGTAGCCTATCATTTACAAAATTAATAAGTAATGAATTTTAATTATACTTTTTTTCAGACAATATTTGAAATCACTTAAGCCTCATTGGGTACCTATGTGTCTATACCTATATTATATAATTTTTTTCCTTTAACACTATGTTTTATTCACTCCAAGAACGTGTATTATAATATCAGTAAATACCTTTGAGATTTTGTATTGCATTTTAAACTATTTTGTGTTCATCTTAAATAAGTGTGTGTTTATCCACCATCTTGCCTAGAAAGAATTTATGCTGCCCCAAATATTAAAACCTTACATGCGGCTTGGTATTACCACTAAAGTTTGAAAAAAGAGTCAGGAATTCCCTTTTATAAAATAGAGTAATGCTATTCTCACCGTGCTTCTTTAAAGAGATTTTCAGAGAAAGAAACCTTGTATAAGAAGAACCCTTAAAAATGATGATGTGGTAACCAAGACCTGCTAAAGGCCACATGCAAACCCCTATTTGAGGTTTTTTAAAAATTATAGTAAAAGCCTTTCAACAAATGGATAGGCTTTTTTTTTTTTTTAAAGATTTTATTTATCTGAGAGTGAGAAAGAGAGAGAAAGCATGAGTGGGGTGTAGGGACAGAGGAGGATGGACAAGCAGACTCCCCGCTGAGCAGGGAGCCCTAAGTGGGACTCCATCCCAGGACCCTGGGATCATGACCTGAGCCAAAGCCAGATGCTTAATTGAGCCACCCAGGCTCCCCAACGAATGGATATTCTATAATCTTCCATACTAAATTCTAATCTGAACACATGGAGAATGAAATAAATATATCCAAAAGGCTTTCTGAGGAATGGGTGATTCTTGCCTTTTTAAAGTTGAGTATCATTTGCTTTCACTAAAATGTATCAGGTTTTAGATAATAGCCATCCCGAGTTATAGTTTTAATTTTAAAATGCCCTTTATAAGATATACATTTAAAGCATTCTTATTTTCCACTGGTCTCTGCCAACGTGATTTAAAATTCAAATTCAGAGAATCTCATAATTCTCCAGCTTTTTCTCTTCAGTGGCTTCATTGAATAATCATAGTAATAGCTACCATGTACTTTCTTCCTTATGCCAGTATTTGGCTGACATAAGCCCGTGAAATTCTCACAGTGACCTTGAGGGCTAAGTAGTATTATTGCCTCTGTTTAAACAAAAGGAAACCTAGTCTCAGAGAGACCCATTATATCGTAGTTTTGCTCCCATCTGAGAAGTCCAAACCTTTGCACTCTGCTGTGTTGCCTTATGCTAAGGAAATTCCGATATAAATGCTCTTTTCTCTTTTTTGCTCCCCATATTTAATTCTAAATACTGTGCAGCCTAAGTTTTAGAAAAATTCACAATTACACAAAAAATGTTTGAAGGAAACTATCACAGCTTTGTGCTGTGAGCTGTTATAGTACTGTCATAGCTTTCATTATTAGGACTGAAAGCAGCAGACATGTTTTTCGACTAACCCTCTGACTTCAGTAAGGTCTACTGAAGTTACAAGGAAATCTAAATGGTATTTCATTAAGGAGGGATCCGTGCACCAATCAACATATTTCAGAAAATAGATTCCAGGGTGACGACTTTACCGACAAAATGAGTATCAATGAGATCGATCTCAAGTTGATTACTTTTCCATTTAGCTTTAATCCAAAAATATATTTCCAGGTGATTACTTTCTCAAAGCTCTACATTGTTCAAAGCCGAAGAATCCTATGATCCCTCATGATATAGAAGTGTCCATCTCTAACACCAGGACATTTGTGCTGTTTTCTAAGACTTTGACAGACCACATGGCTGCACCAGTTCTCTGTTTGGGCTGCCCTTTTCACCTGTGTGTCCCTCCCACCTCTCTTCTCCAGGACTGCCCCCCAGAAGCAGGCGACTTCCGGGCTCAACAATGCTCCGCTCACAATGATGTCAAGCACCATGGCCAATTTTATGAATGGCTTCCTGTGTCTAATGACCCTGACAACCCATGTTCACTCAAATGCCAAGCCAAAGGAACAACCCTGGTTGTTGAACTTGCACCTAAAGTCTTAGATGGCACCCGTTGCTACACAGAGTCTTTGGATATGTGCATCAGTGGTTTGTGCCAAGTAAGTGCTGGTTTCTTTCCATTCTATTTTTCTAGAAGGTTTTAGTGTCTCTGTGTAAATAGCTTTTGTATAGTCCTGCTATCTCAATCATTCAGTGTCCCTTTTTCTAGAATTTATGAAGGATGACAGATTTGAAAATTGAGGTTTAATTTCAGTTGAAACTACAAATGTTGTAGTTTATGTTAAGGAAAAGAGGGCTGGAATTGTTTTTACTTTCTTTGAGTCTCTGCTGAATATGAAAGGCTGAAAGTTCTTGACTGTGTGTGTCAGTTTTGTATTAGACTCCGAAATTGCCTCTACCTTGGTTGTCCCTGAAATGTATTTGCATGTGCATGTGTGGCGTGCGTGCACGCGTGCGTGTGCGTGTGTGTGTGTGTGTGTTTGGAGGTATCGATTTTCATTTACTTAGAGCTTCAGAATACTTTGGGTAAGATTAGCTCTGAAGTTGCCACGTGAACTCTGGGCAAATTTATTTCTTCATTATTATAACTGTAATTTTGTTGAAAGTTCAGGCAAACTCCTGAAAGGCATGGAAGTGTGAGCTAAGTCAGATTTCCTCCAGGCAAGTCTTTAAAATAGGGATAATAAAGAGGTCTGATTTCTGGTATCAATTTATCGGTTGGGTGGGGAGTTAGTAAGAAGAGAGAAAGTTAGTAGTTAATATGTTTGCGATGTATTTGCCATCTTCAACCTTGGATTAGGGTGACCAACCTAGTTTTTGGAGCAGGCCGTTGCTAGAATTTCCTGTGTGCTATACTTGACCATATACTTTTTGTATTTCACTAAGTAGACATTTTCAGAATCTTTGCTTCTTCCAAGACAATATTGGTTGAAATTTTTCTCTCTTCAGAATCTCTAATATCTCAGCTAGCAATATAAGAATAAGCGTAAAATGTGTTTCAGTAATTTGTCTTTTCAAATTCACATGTTTGTTTAAGACCTAAACCTATATTTACATATAAAAGGAATAACTGTAATGTGAATTACTACAAGAAATGTGAGGTGTCCTGAATGATTTTCTGTATACGAGAGGCGAGACAGACATGCTAAACCTTCATAAAATCTAACATCATGAGACAGGGAAATTGTGGCATGTCCACGCACTTCCCAAGTGGAAGGATCAAGGTAATATATACATGTCTGTGAATGACTTTATATACAAGAGATATGTGAATTTCAGATACAAATTGGAATATAGAATCTTAACTATTTTAGAGATAGGAAAAGCCTAAGGGATTATCTAGTCAATGTCCTAAAAAGCCAAAGATATTACTTGTGATATTTGGTGCTTGCTTCCTTCTCTGGGATTTTCACTGGTGTGGAATTGTGAAATCCGTAACAGCTTTGGGAATAATAGAGAATTGTAAAGCAAATGCATATAGAAAAGAAGCTATGTTGTAGGGAATGGCAAATAAAATAATAATTCTTATGTGTTTCTCCTACTGGAGTAAAACCAGACAGAGTTCCATTTTGTACATTGAGAAAAAAAAAAAACAGAATAATTACATGATTTTTCTGAAAGTTATATCATGATCATGAAAGGGAACTAAATTCCTGGTCTCCTGATACCTAGTCCAAAGCTGTTTGTACTGTATTACACTGATGAATGGACCAAAACAAACAAGACAGGTCAGCAAATTAGGTTTCATTTATTTCTGTGGTATGGGAGTTCAACGTGGCCTCTTTCTTTCCTCGACTAATCCTGCCAGCTGGCCTCATATATGTTGGCAACTGAAAGGGAATCCTATCTCAGCAGTGAAAGTAAGAATTTTATATATAGTAAATATGGAGTAATAGTGCTGGACGTTTGGTTTACAAGTATAAGATGCCTCCTTCACTTCAATTCCTATGAGTGTAACTTTTTAGATTGGGGGGGGTGGAAAATGTAAATTATAGAGTATCTGAAAAGAATATCTAAAAGGGGCAAAAGCATGGGAAAGGAGATGAAATAATTGGGATTGCTTTTAGGCACTAACACGCTGTTTGGCTAGAGAGCAGGGCACCCCCAAGGTCCACTGTAAGAAGACAGAGAGATTGTTTGGGAGAAAATCATAGATGCTTGAATCGCAGATGGACAGGACTCTGCAAACAGTGGGTGGCTAAGAGAGTGTTTTGGTGGAGAAAAAGCATATTCAGAGCTCTGTCTTAAAAAGATTAATATGGCTGCAGTTGTCGGACTTTGAAATGCAAGGCCCTAAAACCAAGGAATCCATCTGGAAGGAGGCTCTTAGATCAGCCAAGGTGAGGCAAAGTATGAGCCTGGGTCAGGGCAGTGACAGTGAGGAAATAGTAAGAAAACTAAGCGTAAAACTAGGAAGGAGTTTTCATTTTGATTAAAACTAGGGCAAAGGGTAGAAAGCAATAAATCAGATTAATCATGCTCAGGGGATCAAAAATTACAACTCAATATGAATTTATAATGGATATAATTTTGGATCCTTGCTACCATTACTGTAACAGCGTGTATTTTCATGATTAGAGCCTACTTCAGCTTTATAAAAAAGAGGGAAGGGACAGATGATAGCAAGATGACAGAGGAATAAAGATGGAATGTTTAAATGCAGTGTATACATTTTTAGAAGGACAAAAGTAGAGTCAGTCAGTGTAAGAAAAGCACTCACTACTACTTCATAGAGTTTAAATGCATAAATTCTTTTCTACTTAGAAAAAAATTCCTTTATTAGCTTATATCTGTGTATTTGTATTTTTAGTCTTTGGTAAGTAACATTAAGAAAAAGTCATATTTTCATAATTTTTGAAACTGTCAGGAGTCTCAATGCTAAATGAAATGTGCAGTTTTTCACTTGAACAGTTTCTCCTAGTTTTCCAAAAAAAAAAAAAAATCATTTTCTCTGCTCTATTTTCCCTCATTTCTACAACATTTGTTGGGGATTCTTAGCTCTTTCTCTGGTTTTCTTTCTGCCTTATTATAACTTTCTTGGCAAGCTGTTTCAAGTATTTTTGATGCTTGACAGATATAAATTATAAGTATAAAGAAGCAAATATCTAGCTTTGGACATAGCCTTGCTTTGATAGAAAATGACAGCGTAACTACAGAGAGTTGTCATTCATAAGTACTAATTATTTCTGTTAATACCTGTTTAATGCTCAAGTAAGAACCACTTCCTCAAACTGGACCTTTTACTATTAAGCTATTAAATACAACTATTAAACTATTAAATACAACTATTAAACTACTGAATACGATTGTGGAGTCTTAACCCTTTCTAGCCAGGAGATACCTTAGCAATCCATAGAGAAGGAAACTGAGACCAGAAAATGTCCCAAGGTCATGATTGAGTGGCTTGTCTCTATTTGTTGGGGATTTGCTTCAGGAAAATTCTAGAATCATCGCCATTTATAATAATGCCTTATTCTTAGTAATATTGGAGCGTCCTATTAGGCAGTATAATCATTCATAATAGCAATATTAATCATAAAGTAGCTTCCATTTTTGAGTGACTACCATACCTAGGCATTATTTGTCTATTTTTTCCTAATACAATTGACCCTTGAACAGCATGGGTTCAAACTTCATGGGTCTATTTACACATGGATTTTTTTTTTAACAAATTACATTAGAAAAAATTTGGAAATTTGCAACAATTTGAAAAAAATCTGCAGAAGAACCAAGTAGCCTAGAAATTTCAAAAAAATTAAGAAAAAGTTAGCTATGTCATGAATGCATGAAATATAGGTAGAAGTAGTCTATTTTATCATTTACTAATGTAAGACACACACAAATCTATCATAAAAAGTTAAAACCTATCAAAACTCACACACAAACACAGATTGTACAGGATCTCTGCATTTTGGATGTTGAGTGTTAATAATACCCACACCACCTACAGTGTTTTGTATCAGTAAAGCAATATTGATGGAGACATTTCATCTTGTAAACAGGTGACATAAACTTACTGTATTGGTAAATTGCAGTACAGTCTGGAAAATGTATTTTCCTTATGATTTCCTTAACATTTTCTTTTCTCTAGCTTACTTTATTATAAAAATACAGTCCATCATACATATAACACATGAAATGTTTGTTAATCAATGGTTTATGTTATGGGTAAGGTTTCCAGTCAATGGTAGGCTGCAAGTAGTTAAGTTTTTGGAGAGTCAAAGGTTGTACGTGGATTTTCAGCTGCGCAGGGGTGAGCAGCTCTAAACCTCAGATTGTTCCAAAGTCAGCTGCACTTACAACTCTCCATATTAGGCAGCATTATCTTCATTTCACAGATGAAGAACTGAGGCTCAGTCACAGCACCAGCCCAGAGGTACCGAGTTCTGTCTGACTCCCAAACTCCTACTTCTCTGGTGAGGCTGAGTGGCTAGAGATAGGAACCATCTGATGTTCAGAAATGGTTCCCCAACTAAGCTACATACCAGAATCACTTGGAGAGCTCTTAAAAGATACGACTCTTAGTCCCCATCCCCCAGAAACTCGGATTTATTAGTTCTCTATAGAACGCTCTCCTTATCCTGTTGTTTGACCAGATTTATGAAGCACTTATGGGCTGAGAAGCAGACAGGATTTAAAGTCAAAGGACACGACTTAGAATCTGGCTCTTCTGTCATAATCTTGACCAGCCTTCCTGAATTCTGTTTTTCAGTCTGGGGGAAATAAGGCTGTCTCGCAGACTATCGTGAGATATTCGTATGAAAATGCCTAACTGTGAAGTGCTATGGAAATGCAGAAAACCCTGAACATCTTAACTTGAAAATTACATAAAAGTTGTGGTTCCCTGTGTGAGATATCATAACCCTGCAACAATTCAAAAAAGTTTCTAGAAGGAGATAAAGCAAGCAACTTCTTATTCCGCTAAGAACATTAGAAAAGGAGAACTTAAATCATGTATTTCACCATCATCATTTCTTAACTGAAATGTTAATATCAAGGACAGAGTAAGAACCCGATTTCAGAATCAAGGACAGTACTTTAATTCAAACATGAGAAAGTTACTACCCTCTACTTAGTTTTTTTGTTTTTTGTTTTTTTT